TTTTTTAGACAAAGTCTGGCTCTGTCAAAGGCTGGAGTGCAGTGGCGCATTCTCGGCTCACTGCAGTCTCCGCCTCCTGGGTTTAAGCAGTTCTCTTGCCTCAGCCTCCTAAGTAACTGGGACTGTAGGCACCCATCACAACACCCAGCTAATTTTTTTTTTTTGTATTTTTAGTAGAGATGGGGTTTCACTGTATTATCCAGGATGGTCTTGATCTCCTGACCTGTGATCTGCCCAACTTGGCCTCCCAAAGTGCTGGGATTACAGGCTTGGGCCACTCCACCCAGCCTTAAATTCTATTTTTTTAACCTGGCTTCCTAGCAGTTGCTTCTGTGTTTTGGGCAGGAGGGTGTGCTCAAACACTCCTAACCCAAAAGGTTCCCCACCTCACACTGTGGCTTCCAGCACATTCCAAGTTCAGCCAGCCCCTCTCTCTGCTTTCACTTTCCCCTGGCGTCTGTTGGAGCTTCCAACACCTGCAGCCGTTTCCCAGAGAGCTGAGCCCTTCTATGGCTCTCTCATTTCCAGAGTCTTCCTGTGAAGTATCTGGCTGGCCCAGTGTGCACTCCAGCTGGGATCAGAACCCCAGATGATCAGGGCTGTCAGTTTTCTTCGTAAGTTTTTATCAGGTCACCGCTTTTAACTACAGGGCCCTGGGTTTTACCCGCTGTCCCACATCCACCTCTGCTGCTGCTGAGGTTTGCAGCCAGCCCTGACCTGGTAAAATGCTGAGGTTTGCTGACCCAGGAGTGGGAGCCAGTGGCAGCCCCAGGTGCAAAGGCTGCAGACTTCCCACTGTTCTGACCCAAGGCCAAACAGGGTTTCAAGCAGAATCTCTTCTCTGTGAGTTCTCAGATTCAGTCAGTTTCCAGAACTCCTGAAAAGTTCTGAGTCAGTGAGCTTTTATACTTTTGTCTAGTTTTAGATTTGTTTGTTTGTTTGTTTTTGGAGACAGTCTCACTTCGTCACCCAGTTGCGCAATCTCAGCTTACAGCACCTCCGCCTCCCAGGTTCAAGCAATTCTTCTGCCTCGGCCTCCCGAGTAGCTAGAATTGTAGGTGTGCGCCACCACCACGCTTAGCTCATTTTTTGATTTTTGGTAGAGGCAGGGTTTCACCATGTTAGCCAGGCTGATCTCAAACTCCTGACCTCAAGGTGCTCACCTCAGCCTCCTAAAGTGCTGGGATTATAGGCGTGAACCACCTCAGCCAGCGTAGATTTCATTTTCTGCGGGGAGGATTCAGCAACCTCTCTACATGGGTTTAGCTGGAACTCAGAAGCTTCTTTAGTTTCAGACGTTTCTTTTCAGGGGTAAGTCTTACTCTGGAATGTATTTCTGTGAATGCTGTGAGGTAGGTGTTGAGTTGGGATCTTTAATGTATGAAAACCCAGTTTTTGGCCAGGTGCTGTGGCTCATGCCTATAATCCCAGCACTTTGGGAGGCCGAGGCGGGTGGGTCACGAGGTCAAGAGATCGAGACCATCCTGGTCAACAAGGTGAAACCCCGTCTCTACTAAAAATACAAAAATTAGCTGGGCGTGGTGGTGCGCACCTATAGTCCCAGCTACTCGGGAGGCTGAGGCAGGAGAATTGCTTGAACCCAGGAGGTGGAGGTTGCAGTGAGCCGAGATCGCGCCATTGCACTCCAGTGTGGGTAACAACAGCGAAACTCTGTCTCAAAAAAAAAAAAGGAAAGAAAACCCAGTTTTTAATTTTCTCATATGAAACCTGGGGTCCTTTTCCCCCACCCCATCTGTGACGCTTCCTCTGCCACGTGAGGCTTTCTGTGTGAGTGGTGGCTCTTCCTGGGGTTCTCCTTTGCTCTGCTGATTCATTTGCCTGCTCTGTTGGTTTTCAGTTAACTTTATGGATATGCCATTATCTCAACCACTCTCCATGGTTAGAAATTTAGGTTATTTGCAAGTTTTTCATATATGATTTACATCCTTGGTTACATTCTTAAAAATCATGTCACTGAGGGAAAAGGATTACATGAGCCCAGGAGTTCAAGAGCAGCCTGGCCAACATGGCAAGACCCTGCCTCTACAAAAAAATTTAAAAATTAGCTGGTGCAGTGGCACACTCCTGTTGTCTCAGGTGATTGGAAGGCTGAAGCAGGAGGATTGCTTGAGCCCAGGAGGCCAAGGTTGCAATCAGCTATGATCCCACCACTGCACTTCAGCCTGGGCAAAAGAGTAAGACTCCACTGTAAAAAATAAAATAATAGATAAATAAATAAATAAGTAATGTCTTAGAAGCACTTTCTGGGTTACAGAGTTTACAAATTTCAAGGCTTTTAATATTGTCAAATATTCTAGGAGAGGTTTGATTAATTGATGCTGTGGGTGTGTTGAAGGGGGTGCATTTAATCGAATTCACTCTGGGTTTAACCCCTACCTTTTGAACATGTTCTTTTGCTCCTTTTCAGTCAGTCTCTGCTGTAATGCATTTGAGGCACAGTCCTGTAGCCCCTGGTGCCCCCTGGTCATTGGCAGGGCCTGTGTACCTAAGAACAGTAGGCTTGAGAAGGAACTGCCTGGAATCCTAGCCTGGGGAGGTGTGTGAGGCCACCTTTGTCTCCCCCTGAGACATGACTGAAACTCCTGTCCCACCTCACTCTGCTCACCTGCCAGTTCCCACTGGAAAGACAGCGCTGGCTCTGTCTTAGGGGCTGAAGACATGTCCTCATTTGCCCTTTTTTTTTTTGAGATGGAGTTTCAATCTTGTTACCCAGGCTGGAGTGCAGTGGCGTGATCTCGGCTCACCACAACCTCCGCCTCCTGGGTTCAGGCAATTCTCCTGCCTCAGCCTCCTGAGTAGTTGGGATTACAGGCACGCGCCACCATGCCCAGCTAATTTTTTGTATTTTTAGTAGAGATGGGGTTTCACCATGTTGACCAGGATGGTCTCAATCTCTTGACCTTGTGATCCACCCGCCTCGGCCTCCCAAAGTGCTGGGATTACAGGCATGAGCCACCGCGCCTGGCCTTTTTTTTTTTTTTTTTTTGAGACAGAGTCTCACTCAGTTATCCAGGCTGGAGTGCAATGGCCCAATCTCCGTTCACTGCAACCTCCACCTCACAGGTTCAAGCAATTGTTGTGCCTCAGCCTCCTGAGGAGCTGGGACTGCAGGTGCACGCCACTACGCCCAGATAATTTTTGTATTTTTAATAGAGACAGGGTTTCACCATGTTGGCCAGGCTGGTCTCAAACTCCTGACCTCGTGATCCGCCTTGCTTGGCCTCCCAAAGTGCTGGGATTACAGGCATGAGTCCCGACGCCCAGCGCTTAGTTGCTCTTGTGGGGTTAGAACAACTTCCGTTTTGAAACACTGGCATGCTAGTAGTGGATGGTGGCTTTTCATGTCTTTATTTGGCAAAGTTAAAGGTTGCAGTCCTGTCTGTCCCCACGTTTCCTCTTCATTCTCTCTCTGTCTTGGTTTTGGTTTTAATTTTACTGGTTCACTGATATCTAAAAGTCAAGGCACCACTATTTTATAACTAGGTTCTGCTAGTGTCGGGGAAGACTCAGTCAGATGAGTACGTGCACACCCTTGACACATCTGCCTTGAACTGGTGGCATGGCTGGCTTCCTGTGTAGTGGTGAGGCCATGGGAGCTGCTGTCACAGGTTGCTGCCACACTGTGGCTCCAGCAGGAGGCGAGGGGACACGGGGCATGTTCTCCTGGAGCAGCCAAGTCCATCCCAAGAGAGAGAATGCCAGTGGCTATGTGTGTGAGTGCGTGTATGTGTGTAAATGGTACACACACATTAGCCCTTGGTATGCGTGGGTTCCACTTCCATCAATTCAACCAATCTTGAGTCGAAAATATTTGAGGGAGTAAAAGGATGGCTGGGTCTATACACAACATGTGCAGGCTTTTACCCTCAACATTCCTTAGTACAGTGTAGCAACTCTTTACATGGCACTGATGTCGTATTAGGTACTGTAAGTACTCTAGGGATGATTTCAAGTATATGGGAAGATGTGCGTAGGTCGTATGCAAATACTGTGTCATTTATATAAGGGACTTGAGCATCCTTGGAGTTTGGTGTCCACAGGGAGTCCCCATGGATACCAACAGACTACTGTGTATGTCTATGCAAATGTGAGTGCATATGTGTATATGCATGTGTGTATGTATGTGTGTGTGTTTATATGTGAGTGCATGTGTGTGTGCATGGGTGTATGGGTGAGGGTGCATGTGTATATGCATGTATGCATGTGTATGTGCATGTGTGTGTTTACATGTGAGTGTGTGTACATGGGTATATGGGTGAGGGCACATGTGTATATGCATGTATGACTGCATGTGTGTGTGTGTGCGTATATGCATGTGTGCATGTTTATATTTGAGTGCATGGGTGTACATGGGTTTATGGGTGAAGGTGCATGTGTATATGTGTGTATGACTGCATGTGTGTATATGCATGTGTGTATGTGCATGTGTGTCTATATGTGAGTGCATGTGTGTGTACGTGGGTGTATGGGTGAGGGTGCATGTGTATATGCATGTATGACTGCATGTGTGAGTATGTGTGTATATGCATCTGTATATACATATATGTGCATGGCATGCGCGTGTGAGGGCAGGTGTGTATGCGTGTGAGGGCCTGTGTGTGTATGTGTATGTTTACACGAGTATGTATACACGTGTATATGCATGTGTGTAAATGTATATGCACGTGTATATGTGTATATATGCGTGTGTGTATATGCGTGTCTGAAGGTGTATATATGCATGAGTGTGTATATACATCTGAGTGTGTATATATGTGCATGTGAGTGTGCATGTCTGTGTATATATATGCATGTGTGTGTGTATATATGCATGTGAGTGTGTGTATATATGCATATGAGTGTGTGTGTGTACGTCTGTGAGAGTGTATATGTGTGTGTGGCTCCCTTAGGATGGTGCCCAGGGAGATGGGTCAGTGTTCCTGGGTGTGTTGCCCCGGTGGCCTGTGTCTGAGCCCTGCCCCCTACGGCTCTCTCTGCAGGTTCTCCCATGGGCAGCTGGTCTCTGTGGATGAGCTGCGCCCCTTCCAGGACCCAGACCTGAGCTCCCTGCAGGCTGGCTCTGCGTGTCTAGCCAAGCACCAGGATGGCCTCTGGCACGCAGCTCGCATCACCGGTGAGGCTGGCCGTGGAGGCCTCCCAGCAACACCCTCCCATGCGTCACATGTGTTACTACTGGGTGGCTACTCCCTGCCCCCTTTGTGTTGAGTGTCAGGACTCTGGCTCTGTGCCAGCAATGAGCACATCTGCCCTCAGCCTCTGCCCTGCCTTGTTCCCAATGTCCCGCATGGCTCCTGAGCAGTGGCACCTGCTGTTGTCAGGGATGCTGACCTGCAGTTTGTCTCTGCCCCCAGATGTGGACAGTGGCTACTACACAGTCAAGTTTGACTCGCTGCTGCTGAGGGAGGCCGTGGTTGAGGGGGACAGTGTCCTTCCCCCGCTGCGCACAGAGGCCACAGAGTCCTCCGACTCAGACAGCGATGGCACGGGCGACTCCAGCTATGCCAGAGGTATGGCAGCAGCTGAAGGGCCCAAGAGGCAGGAAGGTGGGGTCACCAACCACTGCAGAGTGTGGACTACAGCGAGGCTGCTGTGCTCAGCACAGGTGGCAGCTGTGCCTGGGGAGGCAGTGTGGGGTCAGGGTGCAGGAGCATGAGTGAAGGCCGGGGTAGATCCATTGTGACCTTTGACTTGAAGGAGTGTGAGGGTGCAACAGCTACAGCCTCACTGATGGGAGGCCGTGGCCGTGGGAGGAGGGGCCTAGAGTTCCCAAGGAAGTTACAGAAATGACCAACTGCTGGGGCCTGGAGTGCAAGAGGGACAGCTTCTTTGAAAGGCTTCTCAGACTTGGGACCTGGGTACCCGGTGGAGCCTAGCAGACAGAGGTTGTGTCTGGGCAGCTAGAGTGGAAGTTTCGGGACTGGGAACTGGTGGGCAGTGTCCAGCTCTCCAGAGTGGTCAATTAGACAGGGAGGTGTACCCAGGGATCAGTGATGTGAGTTGGTGACTTCTGAAGCCCCATGTTCCCATTGAAGGAGGAGTTGACCGAGGACTCTGAGGGCAGGTAGGAGCTCATGGCCCCGCAAAGGCGGAGAAGGGCAGGGGCAGGAGAGGGCTGTGAAGGAAGGGCCACGGTGCACCAGGCCATGGGGACTGCCACGAACTCTGCCTGGTGTCACATGCCCACAGCAGACCTCGGTGACAGAGTGCAGAGCCCAAGAGGTGGGGTGTTGGGGCTCTGCCCAGGAGCTAAGCTCATGGGCCAGAGCCCCAGTCACGATGCACAGTCCTCTGGCCTGGCCCAGCCACTGCCCTCTGTCCCATCTTTTGCAGTGGTGGGGTCAGACACTGTGGACTCCGGGACCTGCAGCTCTGCTTTTGCTGGCTGGGAGGTACACACGCGAGGCATAGGCTCCAGACTCCTCGCCAAGATGGGCTATGAGTTTGGCAAGGGTGAGTGCCCGCTTTCCTTGAGAGGTGGGGGTTGGCTGCAGCACAGCTGGGGTCCCACAGCACACAGCAATACCATCCCCTCAGGTTTGGGCCGACACGCCGAAGGCCGGGTGGAGCCCATCCACGCCGTGGTGCTGCCTCGAGGGAAGTCGCTGGACCAGTGTGCAGAGATCCTGCAGAAGCGGACCAGGGTTGGCAAGGCTGGCACCAAGCCCCCCAGATGCCGCAGAAGAGGGGCCAGGGCTGGGGGCCGCCTACCCCCGCGGAACGTGTTTGACTTCCTCAATGAAAAGCTGCAAGGCCAGGCTCCTGGGGCCCTGGAGGCTGGGGTGGCCCCCTCAGGGAGAAGGAGCAAGGATATGTACCGTGCCAGCAAGAGCACCAAGCGGGCCCTGAGCCTGCGGCTCTTCCAGACCGAGGAGAAGATCGAGCGAACCCAGCGGGACATCAGGAGCATCCAGGAGGCCCTTGCCCGCAATGCTGGCCGGTATGTGTGGGGCAGAGGGCAGCCCAGGGTGGCCATGCCTCCAGTACACGTGCGGGAGGTCACCTGACCCAGGTGTGGTGGGCGGAGTCCAGGAGGGGTCTGGATGTTGGAGGACGTGTGGTGGGCACGGCAGCCTGGGATTGGTGGCAGTGGCCCAGGAGCCACACTGACTGGTGGGCCCCTCCCCAGGCATAGCGTTGCGTCAGCCCAGCTGCAGGAGAAGCTGGCGGGAGCCCAGCGGCAGCTGGGGCAGCTCCGGGCTCAGGAAGCGGGCCTGCAGCAGGAGCAGAGGAAGGCAGACACCCACAAGAAGATGACTGAGTTCTAGAGACCCACAAGCACTATGGGGAAGGTGGACCCAGCGCGGGCTGCCCTCCGCACTGGAAAACCCATGTTGCCCAAGGAGGACTGGCCTGCTGGCCTGGGGCATGCAGACGCTGCTGAGTGGAGACAGGGCTGCAGGGCCCCATCTGGACAATTACCTGCCTGTCTGCCAGTGTCTTGGGCATTTCCTTGGCAAGGACATTAAAGAGTTTTCCATCACAGTGTCATTCAGTGGAGATCAGCTGGCTGCAGGGCCTCTGGGAAGAGAAGGGTCTGTGCGGGGCTGTGGTGAGAGGCTGACTGGGCTGCAGGGGCCTAGGAGGCCAGCGTTCTCTCTTCTCTGACCAAGGCGGATCAGAGGCCAGGTTGCCTGCCAGGCACAGATGGGCAGAGCTGCCTGACACCCACAGATGGGTGGAGCTCAGTGCTGCTCCAGCAGGCGAGGGTGGGAGGACTGTGGCCCACCATGTGGGGCTCTTGGTGAGGCAGGTGGACCTGGTCTGTGGGTTCTGTGCCAGCTCTACTCACCTCTCCATGTGTGGAGGGGTTGTGAGTTAGGCTCTCAACAGTGCAGGCTAGAGGCACACACGTTTCCTCTAGGCCTCGGGTAGGGTGCAACAGGTGGGTGAGGCTGCGGTGGTGGCTGCTGCCCAGGGTGGGAGGCTGCAGGGGAGGCGCTCGGAGACGTACAGGAAGTGATGAGATGGGGCGTTCAGCTGAAGGCTGCACAGAGACCTTCCTAGCCTACGCCAGCAGAGCTGAGGAGCTCTGGCTGTGGGTTTGGTAAGTGCTTGGGCAGGTCCCCAAGTGCCCTCCTGGGGTGCCGCTGGGGTCTGGTGGGGCTGTCCTTGGGATGTGGCTGTGGTTGGGTCAGTCAGCTGGGCTGAAGCCCACTGCCTGGGTCTGGGCAGACTGGCCTTAAACTCCAGAGACCACCCTCACCTCCCAGAAGCTCTGCCAAGCCCCAGGAAAGGCACAGATCCTTTGGCAGAGACAGTGGCAGACAAGAAGAGCCAGAGAGAAGTGGGGTGGGGGCACTCAGCAACCCCAGTAGCTGCTGCTGCCTGCTGACCCAGCCTCCAGCCCCTCCGGAGAAGCGTGCAGGTGCACACTGATGGGAGGCCGTGGCCGTGGGAGGAGGGGCCTAGAGTTGCCAAGGAAGTCACAGAAATGACCAACTGATGGGGCCTGGAGTGCAAGAGGGACAGCTTTGAATGGCTTCTCAGACTTGATCCAGCAGGGTCCCTCCTGCTGACCAGTCTCCAGCCCCACCTGGTTCTGGGCTCCAGTGGCCTGGAGGAGGCACTACTTGACACAAGAGGCTGCGTCTGGACAGGGCTGGCCACAGGTGGAGTCTGGCCTGCGGTGCACACCTAGGGCCTCCCCCTGATGCTGGGGTTTGGGCTACGTGACCACAGCTGCCCTGCCCCTCCTCACAGCCATGTGGGGTGTTAGCAGGGTCACCTGCAGGGACACCGAGGGGCCAAGCAGAGCAGCCCTCACTCACCTCACCAGGAGTCCCTGCCAGAAGGGAGGGTGGGTGCCTCTGGGAGGCAGGGCCTGCCAGGCCCTGGGGCTTCCTGTGCTGAGTCAGAGCCTGAATGGGAGGCGCAGGAGCCCCCAGCAGGCACAGATGTAAGGCTGCCAGGTGGCACAGATCACCTCGGCCAGCCCCCAGTGCCCCTTTCTTCTGCCCCCAGGGCCCTGGCTTCACGGGATGGGGTTGCAAGTGTCCTGGGCCCCTCCTGCCCTCTGGGTTCTAGGGTGCTGCGCCCTGATCCTCTGGCTGTGGGCCCTGTGCACAGCCTGCCGCAGGTATGTCCATCAGCCCAGTTCTGTCTGGGCCTTGCTGCGGCTGCTATTCGCTGCCCAGCAGGGGAAGGGGCTGGAGGCAGGTTCCACACCCAATTCTGCACACGGCCCCACACCGGGCCTTGGACCCGAGGCTGATGACCCTGCCCCCCACCCCCACCTCTACCCCCAAGGCCTGAGGACGCTCTAGCCCCCAGGAAGCGGGCATGGGCGAAGCTGCAGGGCAGTGCGATGCCAGCGGAAGCGGTGAGTGCCAGGCTGTCCCGGGGACCAGGTGAGGCCCGCAGGGGACCGACCAGTTTCCTTGCCCCCAGTCCCTGCTGAGGCGGACCCACCTCTGCTCCCTCAGCAAGTCGGACACCAGATTACACGAGCTGCACCGGGGCCCGCTCAGCTGCAGGGGTGAGCGGAGCGCGGGGCGTGGGTGGGCGGGACTTGCTGTGAGCGCCCCAAACTCTGGGCCACACCCGCTGTTACTGCCTGCCCCGAGTGAACTCTGCCCTGACCCCATCCCCAGCCCTGCGGCCTGCCAGCGTGAATCTTCAGCGCCCACACTGGCTGGAGGTGTCCAGGGACATCAGTGGATCGCAGGGAGCCCCCTCTGCCTTCCCACACCGGGAGCAGCCCCGGGCTCTGCCGGCAGCTGCAGCCAGCGCAGCGTGCGTTGGACCCGAGGCTACCTATTCCAACGTGGGGCTGGCGACCCTTCCCGGGGTCAGCCTGGCGGCCAGCCCTATGGTGACTGAGTATGCCCGTGTCCAGAAGCGCCAGGGGACCCATCGCAGTCCCCAGGAGCCACAGCAGGGGAAGGCCGAGGTGACCCCCGCCACTCAGGTAAGGTGGGCCGGGTGGGGCCCCGTGGGTGGGGCCGGCAGGTCCTCAGCAGATTGACCCCTCGCGTCGGCTTCCTCTCTCCAGGTGGAAGTCCTGTACTCCAGGGTCTGCAAGCCTAAAAGGAGGGAGCCAGGACCCACCACAGACCCGCTAGACCCCAAGGGCCAGGGAGCGATTCTGGCCCTGGCCAGTGACCCGGCCTACCAGAGCCCCCCGCTCAGGGCCCCGGATGTGGACAGCGGCCCCCTGGAAAACGTGTATGAGAGCATCCGGGAGCCGGGGGATCCCGCCGGCAGCAGCGGCACGTGTGGGGCTCGGACTCCCCCCGCTTCCAGCTGCCCAAGCCTAGGGAGCGGCTGGAGACCCCTCCCTGCCCTGAACGCTCCAGGACACGTGCTCGTTCCTCCAGAATGAGGCCCGGCCGCGCCCCGCCCGCAGCTGACAGCGCAAGTCCCAGGTCCCCCGGCTTCCGGCCCTTGCGGGCCGTGACGTCCTGGCCGCTCCGACAGCCGCGGCCTCCCCGGACTCCGGAGAAGGCCCGCGTCTAAATAAATCGCCATCGCAGGATGAACGCGGCCAGCCGCGTAGCCGGCTCCTCCAGAAAGCTGCGCGCGTTGGGGCGGGGGGAGGGGCTCGTCTGAAGTGGAGGAGCGGTCCCCCCCGGCCTTGGGGGAGCCCGGGCCTCGCGGAGGCGGTGCTCCTGCCGCCCAGACCCGGGTCAGCGCGGGGACGGGGTCCGATCGCTCCTGGGGGCGTGCAGCCAACAGGGAGGCCGCCCGAGCCGGACTCGAACCCCGCGCTGCCCTGAAGGCTCCGCCACCCGCCGGGTGTTACGTAAAGGGTGGGTGGAGGTGGGCGGTCAGGCATTAAACAGTAACCTGCTCCCGGGAAGCCCGCCAGGCCATGGTGGCCCCTTCCCCGGCTCCGGAAGCTCCGGGAGCGAGCCCGTGGGGAACCGGCCCTGCCCGGCGGGGCGTGCGGGGTGGGCGGCGGCGGGCGGGGCCTCGGGGCTGGGCCGGACCGGGCCTCCCACCAAGGCCAGTGCGGGAGCGACCCGGCGGGGGGCGGGCCCGGGGCGGGGCCTCGAGCGCGGGCCAGCGGGAGCGCGGCCCGCTGGGCCCGCCCGCCTTGGTGTGGACGCTGCGCGGCCAATGCGCGCGCGGGGACGGGGCGGGGCGGGGAGCCTGCGGGCGGCTCGGCGCGGGCGGCGGCCGAATCCAGGGCGGGGGTCGGCGGCCCGGCCAGCCCGGCCCGGCCCGGGGCCGCGTCCTGAGCGTCAGCCTCGCCGCTGCAGCGTCGGCGCCCGGCCCGCCCCATGGAGGCCGAGCGCCCCCGGCCCCGCGCCGCCGGCCGTGACCCTGGTGCGCTACGGGCCGAGGCTCCGTGGGTGCGCGTAGAGAGCCCGGGCGCGCGCGCCTCCCCCGTGACGGTGCCCACGCCGCCGCAGGTACCGGGCGCCGGTGGGCGGGGACGCCGTCCAAGATCCTCTCGCCGCAAAGATGGCGCCAGTGCCGCCCAAACTTTGGGCCCCCGCGGGCGGGGCGGGGGGGCGGTGGCCGCGTCGATCCGCGCGTGTCTGTGGGTCTCGCGCGGCTGTGCCCGGCCGCAGGGAGCTCTTCCCGCCATGCCGGGCTGGGGGCGGGGCCGGGGGCGGAGCCGCGCGGGCCACACCGGCCGCAGCCGGTTTTCGAGGCGGAGGTTGGGGACACCCCCGCGGCTGCCGCCTCCGCTGAGCCTGCCCCACCCGTAGGGCGCTTCCTTGGGCGGCGGCCTCGCGGGCTTGGAGTTCGCGCGGCCGCGGGAATCGGAGCTGCGGGCCTCGGAGCTGGGGGCCCCCAGGCCTTGGTCGGGGGCGGCAGGGACCCGGACTCCATCGGCGCACATCCCGGTGCCGGCGCAGAGGTGAGCGTGGAGCGCTTGCCCCAGGCCTCGGGTGCGCAGGGCGCAGGGCGGGGGGCGGAGACGCCTTCCAGTCCCTTCCCTCGGGAGACCTCGCGGAGGCGGAGTCAGGGCCCAGGTTTCTCGTCCCCACCGTCCCAAGCCCTGCAGCCCGGAGTGGGACAGAAATGATCGGGACGTGTAGTCCTTGTGCCTCCCTCCACCGCCGCTCCTCGGGGCTAGAGCGCGGAACTGGGAGGGGGGTGGCTGCGCGGTCGGCGTGGGGCGACTGTCCAGGAATCCCTGGGGCTCCTGACCGCCGCCTCCCAATCCCTGCCAGGCGGGACACCTCGGTCTGGCTGCCATGCCAGGGGCGGGCTCTGGCCTGGGGAGCTGGGGCCTGGGGAGCTGCCCGCACTTGCAGCCCGGTTTCCCCCTGGCTAACGTCGGCTTCTGGCCACTCCCACCTCCCCGGCCTGGCGAGAGGCCCACAGCCGCAGTTGTGCAACCCTGGTTAATGTGTGATGGGGGAGGCCAGGGCCTGGCCCGCCCCTCCACCCGGGCTTCGGACCCCTGCGGCGCACTAGGGTCTGAAGGAACCACAGTGGAGCCAGGCCCACGCTGTGGCAAACTCTGGCTTCGGGAGACCCTGGCCCGGCTCCTGGCTGCTCCCGGTGGCTTTCAGCTCTCTGCAACCTGAGCCGGGGGGAGGAGCCAGGCCTCATGCCCAGGGCTGGGAGTGGGGAGCCTGGTGTGCACGCGTGCCCAGACCTGCACGTGGACCGGCCAGGGTAGGGGCCCAGAGCTCTGGCTGGGTCACCCGCACCCCGCCCCCATCTTCTCCAGAGCCACCCCAGGAAAAGCCCGGCCGGACGAGGTCATGGCTGCCGCTGCCCTTACAAGCCTGTCCACCAGCCCACTCCTTCTGGGGGCCCCGGTTGTAACCTTCAGCCTAGGTGAGACTCAGATGTCTGCATTCAGGGATGTGTGGGGGGGAAGACAGGGCTCAGAACCTACAGCTCTCTGTGGGGCAAGGAGAGCCCTCAAACTGGGGACACCTTTCCCAGATGTGCTTTGGAGCCCCCTTTCTAAAATGGACTCCCGAACCCTCAGCAGCCGACTGGCCTCCCTGACCTGCCCACCTCCATGTGGCTGCCCACGCTTTCCTGTGCTGGGAGGGCTTCTCCCCAAGCCCTGGGGCTTGGTCCTCCTCCAAGACACTCTGCCCACCTGGGTGTAGGTGAACGGGGGCACCTCGGGGTTAGGGACTCCCTGGACTCATCCAAAGTTCTGGGGGATGTGTCCCCACAGAGCCTGGCCTGGAGCCCTGGAAGGAGGCCCTGGGGCGGCCCCCAGACAGCTACAGCAGCAGCAGCAACAGCGGAGACTGGGGCTGGGACCTGGCCAGTGACCAGTCCTCTCCGTCCACCCCGTCACCCCCACTGCCCCCCGAGGCAGCCCACTTTCTGTTCGGGGAGCCCACCCTCAGGAAAAGGAAGGTGAGCTTGGGGGCGGCCCCCAGGGGGTTGGGCATGGCAGTGGCAGCTGAGCCTGACCCCAGCTGGTGTCTCTGCAGAGTCCGGCCCAGGTCATGTTCCAGTGTCTGTGGAAGAGCTGCGGGAAGGTGCTGAGCACGGCCTCCGAAATGCAGAGACACATCCGCCTGGTGCACCTGGGGTGCGGCGGGGCCTGCAGGCTGGCTGGGGTGGGGGGGCTTGCGTGAGGGAGGCCTGGTCTGGCCACACCCCTTCAGCTCCCACGGGCTGTGTCCCCAGCAGGAGGCAGGCAGAGCCTGAGCAGAGTGACGGAGAGGAGGATTTCTACTACACAGAACTGGATGTCGGCGTGGACACACTGACTGACGGGCTGTCCAGCCTGACTCCGGTGTCCCCCACGGCCTCCATGCCGCCCACCTTCCCCCGTCTGGAGCTGCCAGAGCTGCTGGAGCCCCCGGTCCTGCCCCGTCCACTGCAGCCACCTGCCCGGCCCCCACCCCTGTCCCCTGTCCTGAGCACCGCCCTCGCTAACCCCCAGTCCTGCCACAGCGACCATGTCTACCAGGTGGGTGAAGCCACAGGTGGCTGAGGGGTTGGGTCTCAAGGCCCTCAGAGGGGAGTGAAGACTGGCTGTGTCTCCCCACAGGGCTGCCTGACTCCTGCCCACCTGGAGCCGCAGCCCACGGAGGTCGGAACCTGCTCACTGGCCTTGTCCTCCAGGATTGCAGTCAGCCTGAGGTGCGTGAGGGCTGAGGGGCTGCAGCAGGCACCAGGTGGGGAGGGTCCTGGTCTCAGCCCCCATGTCCTGTGCCCCTCACCTCAGGAAGCCCCGTGGCGATGCTAAGAAGTGCCGGAAGGTGTATGGCATGGAGCGCAGAGACCTGTGGTGCACAGCCTGCCGCTGGAAGAAGGCCTGCCAGCGCTTCCTGGACTGAGAACAGAAGCTGCCACCTTTTCTCCCCACTCCCCCTCCCCGCCCCTGTACCCAGGCCTGGGACTGAAACTGCCCGTGGAGAGCCACAGGGCTTGGCCTTCACCAGCTGCAGGGTCTGCTTTGAATGGGGGGAGGGGGTTGGTGACCCTGAACCCCCTGAGCTCGGGAGGGGTCCCACCACTCAAAGTGCCTCTGAAGAAACCAGCTTTTTGCACTAAAGCCAAACCATACCGCTGTCCCCTTAGCCCCAAGGGCCCTGGGGCAGCCACCCTCCCTGCCTGTTGGCCCGTAGTTTTGTCAAGGGTGTTATGGGCCCCGCTTTGGGGGCCAGTCCCAATGCACTTTGAGGGTGTCGGGAAGAGCACTCCCCACTCGCACTTAACTCGATGGCTCTAGGGCCCTGGGGCTGATGTTTTTAAAGCTCAGGTGTCTCACGTCTGGGCTGCACCAGGCAAAGAGAAATTAAAAATTTGAGGTTTTTCCAGAAGCTTTGTCTGCCTCTTGGGAGGAAGGCCATGGGGCTGGGACCCTGTATGGGCAAGTTGGTAGAGGCTGGCAGCCAGCCACAGAGGGCCAGGGTCACCCCTCAGCCACCCCCACCCCATGCCCCAGGCGAGGTGGGAGGAGGGTTGCCATCTGAAACACACAGGAGGCCTCTGCTTGGAGCAGCAATTTCCCAGTTTATTGAAAGTGATCGCTTTGCAAGAATGTCTAAGCTAATCCCGTCACAGAAAGGAAACGCACAGGCAGGCCGGGGGCATGCCGAGGCAGACAAGAAACTTGGAGGCTCATGGAAGAGAAGGTCACATTAACCTGTCCTCAGGCGCAGAGCCGTGATTTCCCACCGACCGATCACAAAAGCCTCTTCCCCCAATATTAGACATATCTCCAATACAAACACAGGTTTATAGTAAGTAATATAAAGTCAGTATAATATCCCCAGAAAAAATCAATAATCTTCAAACACTGCCTTTTTGTGTTTTGTTCTTGACAGGTTGAAAGCATATTGAAAAAATAAATATTTAAGAAAAGCACACACAGCACCCTCACTACAAATAGTTCTAACAGGGCTGCATACAAAACACAATAGAAGATTTAAAAAATAAACACCACCATTAAGTATGGCTTTCTTAAGAGTTGCACATGTCACAGAATGAGCTAAAATAAGATTTTTTTATAATGCAAAAAGTTCCAGTTTCTGCATTCTCAGTTTTCTAAAGAGGAAGATGTGCAAAGTTGGAAGCGGGAAGCTGCGTCTTCCGAGTTGGGTCCCTATGGAGCCCTGGCAGGGTCCTGTTTCCCAAAGCCCAGAGTGCCCCAATGTACAACCTGCTCAGGATAGAACAGTCATGATGTCCCTGCCCCCCTCCCCGCCCCCAAATCACACCACCCCCAATGGACTGTAGCTTCCACTTTGGTGTTGCAAACACCAAAATACAAACAGACACAAACAAAAAAGAAATACAAAATGTGAAATGTAATCTACACATTTTTTCCTCTTCATAAAAAATATTTATTAGTTTGAACATCGATTTAAAAAAAAAATCAGTCACATAAAAAAAAACCCTTCATTACATACGTCTTTTCCCTCCACACCTCCTGAGAGATGGATGTGTTCGCCTGGGGCCTGGAGCTCCCACTCGTCAGTGGGCACACTAAGAACAAGAGCTCTGCCACGCAGCCAACGCTTGGGGGGGTCAGTGGGACAGTGTTGGTTTTAGGGAAGAAAATGCCCCTGTGGCTACGACAGGGAACCCCAAAGCGGTCAGCAAAGGCAGGCCACGTGGAGTGAGCAGTCCAGACGGAGCAGGACATCCTGAGTGTGGAGGGGGAGGCGGGCCCAGGTGCTGGGCAGGGTGGCCTGAGAGCAGGGGACTGGTACAAAACCCAGAGACATCTGTTGGTAGCAAAGGTCTGGTTTCCAAACGCATTTTATAAGAAAGTCTGTCTAGAAAAGGGGTTTAAAAATCAGGAGAAAGGTACAAAGTTCTGGGACTTCTCAAAGAGGCCTGGGCAAGGCTGGCCTGGGGTGAGGGCGGAAGCTCTGCTGTCCCCCGGGGGCCTCATGACAGAGCCGCCCACCTCACTGGTAAGAGTGGGCAGGGCTCACTGCTGAGGGGCCAGTGCCTGCCCCAGCTCCTATCCCCACACTCTGTGTACAGAAAAATCTTAGCCTCCTTCTCCAGCTTCAGGAGCCCACAGCCTCCCAGCCGAGGGTGTATATGATGACAGCTCCAGCCAGGGCGCCCTGTCATTGGTAGAACTGGATGTTAAAAACAACAAAAGCCGTGACTCCTGCCAGGTACCTGGAGTCCTCTGGGCACCCCTCTCTCCACAGGACCCCCGGCCAGCCCAGCCCTCCTGGAGCAGGGAAGCTGGTACTCCTGACAATGTGGGTAAAAGCCACTGTGTTAAGCTGGAAAAAGAGAAGATAAAAACTCTTTCCATGCAGCCCCGAAGCTCAGCACTCCCAGGTCTCCTCGCACGGGCAGGTCATGAGGGGAGGAGAAGGCCACCACACCCACCTCTCATCCAAAGCCTGCGCCAGAGGAGGGGGTGAGAGACGGACTGTCCCAGTGGTGAGTGCTGTCAGAGACAGCCGGAACCAGAAGACAGGCTGCAGCAACCATCCTGAAGCTGTGAGTGTGGCCAGCAGCCTCCAGGACCCCCAAGCCAGGCAGTGCACCACGGCACACAGAACCTTTGCTTTGCACTCAGGAAAAGAAATGAGCACTTTTGAAAACAAAGCAAAGGCTGGGGTGGCTCACGCCTGTAATCCCAGCACTTTGGGAGGGTGAGGTGGGCGGATAATGAGGTCAGGAGATCGAGACCATCCTGGCCAACGTGATGAAACCCCGTCTTCACTAAAAGTACAAAAAAATTAGCTGGGTGTCGTGGTGCTCGCCTGTAGTCCCAGCTACTCAGGAGGCTGAGGCAGGAGAATCACTTGAACCTGGGAGGCAGAGATTGCAGTGAGCCGAGATCGTGTCACTGCACTATAGCCTGGGCGACAGTGCGAGACTCCGTCTCAAAAAAAAAAAAGAAAAAAGAAAACACAGCAAGAGGACTTGACCACAAGCTAAAGGAAAAGCAACCCTATATAGTTTTGTTGAGTGAGAAAAATCATGCCAAACCAAACAATTTTATGCAACTACCTCGATATGTCTCTGACTAAAGAATCCGGTGACCCACGTCAGGGGTGGGGTGGAAGCAGCACACGGCAGTTAGGAACACTGCCTCCGGTGTTAGCAGCAAAGGCAGGAGCCTGGCTCCAGCCTGTCCAGGAGGGGTCAGCAGGACTGGCCAGGCTAGGCCATGGACAGAACAGGACGGGAAGAGCCCAGGGTGGACACAGCAGCCCAAGGCTCTCCAATGAAGTGCACACGACTGAGGTGAGGCCCTCACAAAGGGAACCTGGTGTGACGAAGGCGGGGGCACTGGGTGGAGGGTCCCCTCCTGGAAGGAGCCCCCAGGGCTGCGTCCACTGAAGATAGCACCTGGAGCCTTGGCCTCCAGCAGAGCTCTGCAGCCGTGTTGTGTGATAAGCACCAAAGCCCAGAGGTAAGAGGGTGGCAGCACTCTCTGTGCACCGCACCTGGATTCTACAGGCTGCCACGGGCCACGGCTGCAGCCACAGGCAGTGACCTGGCTGCTGGGGGAGGGGAGGGCGGGCTCCAGCGGGACTGACCGGGTGTCTGCAAAACTGTCGCACCTGCTCAGGCTGGGGACTGCTGGTCCCAATGCATGACCCTGCCCAGTGCCCACTGGACCTGGTGACAGGGCTGTCACGTGTCCAAGCTAAGCTGGCCATCATGGGGGCCACTCACACACCCACACCACCTGCTGGGGACTTAGGACCACACTCTCCCTTCACTCAAACCCGTCCTGTGCCCACCCCCAGCTCACTTTGTGTCTGGTCCCCGAGCGCCGCTCGCTGGGGGCGAACCTGCTTCTTAGCCCACAGGGCTGGTTTCATGGGGGGTGGGTTCAGGGAGAATCGGAGGAAGGGCCGAGGGAGGGGTTGGCGTGGCCCCGGCCCCGAAGTGGAGACCCACCGGACACACACAGGTGGACGAAGCGATGCAGCCACCAGCCCTGTGGGCGGCGGGCCTAGGAGAGCCAGGCGAAGTCCTTGTCGGGGCCCCCGGGGGGGCTGCGGGGCTGAGGCGAGTCCTCGTCATCTTTGTCGTCTGCCAGCAGTGCATCCTCGGGGGCCAGGCCCTCGTCATCCTCACCCAGCTCCTCCACCTCCCCTCGTGGGTCATCGGGGTCCTCCAGGTATGGCCCGTCGGCTGGGAACAGCGCCTCTGGGGAGCCCTCGCCGCCCCCACCGCCGTGGTCCAGTGGCCCGGCCATGCCTTGGCCGGCACAGTCGGCACACACACCGTGGCGCCGGGAGCCGTGCCGGATGCCCACGCTAGCGGCAGACATGAACACTCTGCTGCACACCTTGCACACGTACTTCTTGTCCTTGCTGTGAACCTGTGGGGGCAGGGCAGGGGTGAGCAGGGCCCAGCGGGGGGCGGGGCAGCTCCCGGGCCCTCAGGGCATCTGCACAGGCAAGAGCTCCCGGTGGGGCACAGCCTGGGAGGCTTGCAGGGACGGGAGTGCTCAGACCGAGCCCCAGCACCTGACAGAGCCACACGGGCAGAGCTGTAGGTGGCACCAACACAGACACAGCCCTGTCCCCAGGGGATGCTGGCACGAGGGCGGTGGTGCCCCTCCCCCGCAGCCCCTAGGTGGGCCAGTCTCTGAGTCCACACCCTGTGTCCAGGCTCCCCCACCAGAGGCCCACCTGGTCGACACACTTGTCATGGGGTCACACCACCCCATCTGCCTAAAAGCCTGGCTTCCTCCAAACTTCCCTGCAGGATAGGCTAAGGGACCCGAGTTGGACTGGAGCTCACAGAGCAACCCCCGTGCCCCGTCATGGCTGTGTACCCTGTACAGGTGCAGGCTGGGGTTACAGCTGGCAGCTGGGCAGTTGGGCCTACACCCCTGCCTGGCTTTGTGGACACCCTCTCAGTCCTGACCCTGACTCCAGGAACGTGAAAAGGAGGCAGCTCCCCCACTGTCAGGCTGTTTCGAAATCAACTTAAACAGGCAAGAAGAGATGAGAATTATGGTCAGAGAAGGACGGGTGGCTGCCAGGGAAGGCGGTGTGCCATGCTAGGCCTGGTAGGGAGAGGGGGCAGCCCCTGAAGAGGCCCACGTGGCCGGACTCAACGTGCTAGGCTCTCAGAGGGGTCTCAGCACCAGCCCCAAGGCCACAGGGAACCTCCACACACTGCTGGGACCTGTGGCCCCTGGTGGGCTTCTGCTGAGGGTGGGCAGGGACGCCTGTGCTGTGCAGAACTGGACCCGAAAGAGACATGGACAAGGATGGGGAGGGGCGGTTCAGGCACCCACTCGCTGGCACCTCAGCCAGGTCAACTCCAGGCGGCCTTAGAGGGACTGGCCCTGATGCCTCACAGCATAGCCCTGTCCCTGCCCTCCAAGGATGGAGGCAGCAGGACCCACAGAGGACCCCAACAGCAACCCCTGGCTAAGCCCACACCAGGAGCTTCTTTGAGGTGGGCCGGCCTCCAGGTTGAGCCTGGCACCGACCCAAGCTCCCTTCGGCTCTTCCCTCCATCCACAGGGCGGTCCCCTGCGGCCTTCGGCGCCTCTGAGGATGCATGGAGAACTGAGGCTAGGGCGTGCTGGTGAGTTAGGTTCTTCTTCAAGCCATTCCAAACCCTCCAGTTTTCTACCAAGAGCAAGTACGTACCTAACCAATGTGTATCGTGGTGGAAGACGGTCCCTCTACACTTGCAGAGATCTCCTGACAGTCAGGCACCACAGCTACCACCTCCCCGTCCTGGGCCTGGGCCCTTCTAAACCTGTCACTGGCCTCAGCCTCCTGAATCCATGGGACCATAGGCCACCCAGCACGCCCTGTCCTCCCCTTCTAGACCCGCCTCCCTGAGGGCAGAGTTGCCTGTGACTTCCATAAAATCTGGAACCATAAAGACCTTATTTCTCAAATGTTTGCTGCCAGAACAGCTGTGTGAGCTTTAAGCACGGCCTGGGATGGGGCCACACAGGGACGTGAGACCTTTGGGGCAGCTGGTGGCCTTTGGGGCCAGGACAGCACCACCCAGCCCTCCACAGATGCCCAGACACACTGACCCTGGACACAGAGCCTCAGACAACTTGGTGCCAGGACTGCTCCTTTGGGCTTTTTGTTTGGCTATATTTTAAACCAAGGGTTTCCAGAGCAAAAATTCAAGGCAAGCCACCACAGAAACTTCCTAACAGGGTGATCTGGTGTACGCAGGCCCAGGAAGGGCTGGAGCAGGGCTAGAGCACCCACCAAGGGCCCTCAAGACCTCAGCTCCTGTGTGTGCAGAGGCCAGGGCCGGATGGCTGGACACTCGTCCACATGTGCAATGCCCTGTAAGGAAGCAAGAAGGAAGATGGGCACCTTGGCAGCCCACCCAGGGCCCTGGGGCACTGTGGCTGCACGAGCACGGCTGGCCCACCTTCCAGATGGTCCTACCCCAGCCACTGGAGCTGGGGGAGTGGACACACAGGCCAGGGAAGGGCTGACAGCACTCTTAAGTGCCATCGTGAAAGCAGAAGCTGGACCAGTTAGAGCTGCCGTCTCACACTGGGACTCCTTGCTCACAGGTCCAGGACCCCAGAGAAGGCCACAGGCAGAGCCTCTCCTTAGAAAAAGTGAAGCCCCCATATGCTTCATATGCTTACTGGTTTTTGTTGTTTGTTAGATAGGGTCTCACTCTGTTGCCCAGGCTGGAGTGCAGTGGTGCAATCACACCTCACTGCACCCTTAACGTCAATGGGCCAGGTGATCCTCCTGCCTCAGCCTCCCAAGTAGCTGGGACCATAGGTGTGTGTGACAGTTGGCTAATTTTTTTTTTCTTTTGTAGAGACAAAGTCTTGCTATTTTGCCCAGGCTGGTCTCTTAAGCTATCCTCCTGCCCCAGCCTCCCAAAGTGCTAGGATTAAAGGCATGTGCCACCACACCCAGCTCTCCCATATAAGTACACTTTACAGGGAATGATGACCCCCTGAAGCCCAATCATGAATCCCAGGATAAAAATCCCAGCCCTGGTCAGACACAGTGGCTCACATCTATAATCCCAGCACTTTGGGAAGCAGAGGCAGGTGGCTCACCTGAGGCCAGGAGTTCAGGACCAGCCTTGGCAACACAGCAAAATCCCATCACTACAAACAGCAAAAATTAGCTGGGCATGGTGGTGCATACCTGTAGTCCCAGATATTTGGGAGGCTGAGGTGGGAGGATCGACTGAACCTGGGAGGTCAAGGTTGTAGTGAGGTGTGATCACGCCATTGCACTCCAGCCTGGGCAACACAGTGAGACCCTGTCTCTAAAAAAATCAAAAAACAAAAAAACAAACCCTAACCCTACCCAACCAGAAGGAGCAGGCAGGGCAGCCACACTGAATCTCTAACAGGATAAAAACACTGAGAGGTTAATAGGGGTTTGCTAAAGAAAGATGTTGCATTCCATGTTAAAACTTATTAGCACCTATTAGTTTAAAAAACAAGATACAATTTTCTCTGAATAGGAAAGCTTGTGGGCATGGTGGAGCTACCCCTCTGGTTTTTCTAAGTGGTAAGATCAGCCCTGTGGCTGGTGTGAGCAGAGCACGTGTACAGCTACCGTCTCGAAGCTGGGACCTCAGCGGCTCTGCGTGGATGTGGGTCTGCTCCTGCCCTTGCAGACCTGCCTGCTCGTGCTCCAGGGTCCCGCCGTAAGACTTCCTTCTCTGCTGCCCCCCCCCGCCCCCCACCTCGCAGGGACAAGTGTGGGGGCATCAAGGAAGCCCAGAGCCCAGCACTAAGCCCAGCTCCATACCACTTCAGGCACATCCCAGGTGGCATCCAAGGGCCCGGAGTGGCCCTTCACCCACAGCCGGCCAGGCGGACACAGGCTGGCCAGGGCCCTGGTGCCGCTCCAGCTCTGCAACTTGACCCCAAGGAGCTCTCACTGGCTCCTTACCCCAACTGAATATCAACCACCGCGCTGGAAAAGCAGAAGCAAACAGGACCTGACCCGAGGAGCTCGGTCCGGCCCCCTGGAGGGTCTCCCCGACAAGCTCGGCCCCGCCCCCTGGTCTCCCCGACAAGCTCAGCCCGCCCCCGTGGGTCTCCCCTTCCCGTGGAGCGCTGCTGCTGCCTGTCCTGCTGACTCCCCTGCGATCCCTAAACTGGAATTGGTGCCCAGCGCCACTCCCGCCCCACCTGGGCCCCGCGCCCAGGGCCGCCCCCACGGCTTCTCTTCACACAGCTGCGCGCCGCGAGCCCCTCGGCCCTGCACCCTGCGCCTTGGGGTGCGCGTCCCAGGACTCCCCAAACCCCTGGGCTCCGGCGCCTGCAGGCCCCCCTGGGCCAGCCCCGCTCTGGGCTGCCCGTACCCCGCCTGCCTCACTGGCTCCTCGCGCCCACTTGAGGCGCCCTCTCCCGGCCTTTTTCGTCGAAGCTGCGTCCCTGTTCCCAGGCTGCCTTTCCCTCCCCAAGCAAATTCAGCCACTCCACACCTGCTACCCGACAACCACGTGCCTGAGCTCGAGGTGGGCGGTGGACGCAGACGGGTCAGCAAGCACAGGGCAGGGTTCCCCCTCCGGGGGCAGGGAACGGACAGGGGCGCGGAGGTGGCTGAGTGTTGGGGGTTCCCAGCAGAATGAGATGAGTCTGCAGAGGCCTGGCTGCCTTGGGGGCCAGCAGGTGGGAAGGGCGGGCTGAAGCCTGGGCCGGAGCCATGCCGCTGACCCAAGCCCAGGAGGCCAGTGCAGAGCAGGCTGGGACACTGTGCTAACTGGGGCGGCTCTCCCTGGCCTGCTGTCTTCCCCACTGCAGAGTGGACCCGGTTTGGGGTCCCTGGCGTTCTGCACCTCCCTTAGGACCCGCCTGCCGGACATCGTGGCCACACACAGTGCTGCCCACTGCCCCTGCCCACTGCCTGCCTGCTGCCCCTGCCCACTGCCCCTGCCTTGCTGCCCCTGCCCACTGCCTGACTGCTGCTCCTGCCTGCTGCCCCTGCCCTGCTGCCCCTGCCCGCTGCCCTTCCGCACTCACCAGTGTGTGCCGCTTCATGTGCTCACGCCGTGTGAACTTCTTCCCGCAGATCTCACAGGGGTAGGGCCGCTCCCCGGTGTGTGACCTCATGTGGCGCTTGAGGATGCACTGGTGCATGGCTGAGAAGCTGCAATACGGGCACTTGAACTTCTTCCTGATCACTGTGAACTCATTCACTGAAAGACAGATACCCGCCAGGCATCAGCAGGGCCTGGGATGTGCTGCCCTGCGCCCCACAGACCATGGCTGCACCCTGCAGCCCAGCAGCCAGGACACCTGTCTCCCACGGCCACCCACCAGGCACTGGTCAGCAGTGCGGCAGGCTGGGCTCCCCCGTCTGCAGAGATTGTCCCACCCACAGCCTGGGGTGGGGGGCGGTGGCAGCAAGCCTGAGCCCCATGGAGCTCAGGAGTCCCAGCTCTCATGAGATCTTTCCTTCCAGGCCAAGGGGCCGTGGCGCCACTGAGGACAGACCAAGAGCCCCCAGGCCAAAGGCAGAAGCAAGGAGTGAGGACGGCCAGTGCTGCACACAGCGCCCAGTCCCTGCAGGACCCTCCTTCCAGCCCAGACCCCCCTGAGCAGCCATGGGTAGCAGGCCCTGGGCGTGGTGTCGGATCAGACGCCTCCTGGTGGCAGATAAGAAACAAACACTTCGGAATAACAGGACCCAAAAGAGTACCGGGGAAACACAGGACGTGGGAGCCACTCAAAGTCCGGAGCCCCTCCTGCTGCATGCAGGAGAAGCAGCCAGACACACTTAAGTTCTTCCCCCGAAACCCTGGGACCCAACGTCACTCAGCGGCAGGAACTCCACACCATCTCCATGGTGCGTGCCCTGGGGCCAGCCTCAAAAACCCCAGCACCCCCGATGCCGTTATGCTACTCAGGCCCAGATATGGGCACGTCAGACCTGGGCACAGGCCAGCGGGAGAGTCCGGAGCAGCCACGTCCTCGTCACCCCCCAAGAGACCCACCTGAACCCCGTAAGCGCACGAACTGAGGGCTGCTCACCCTGGGATCACTGGATACTCGCCGCTGCGCAGGACGAGGGCCTCTTCCCTTCACATATGGAGACCACTTTCAATGGCAGGAGTTTTAACTACACAACACACCATAATTCATTAAACAGGCAGTGCCGGTGAACACCTGTTTCTATGTTTTCACCTTGTCAACAACACTTCAGTGAGGCTCCTACAGCTGGGTCTGTGCAGCCCCCTGCCACCTCCTGGAGATAAGCTCTGAGAAGGGGAATATGCGCCACCCTGCTGACCGCAGCCCCCACTTGCCGTGCGGAGGGTCCACGGAGGCCCTGGGGTGACAGGCACAGTCCCACGGCTAGGATCTTCCAAAACGCAGGTCTAACAGGAAACGGCATCTGCTAGGAGCACTCACTTTGTGAAACTGGAGCGTGTCTGTGTGGCCAAGACACGGAAAACCCGAGGCCCAGCCTGGCACAGCAGCGCCTCTCAGCAGCCGGCTTCGTTCCACGCACGCCCCACTGCACACCACCCCAGCAGCTTCGGAGGATGAAAACCCAGGCTCTTCCTGGCCTCTCTCCGACAGCCGCGCACCGTGTCCCTGGCCCTCCTGGGAGTCAGGCAACAGGTTTCTCCTTCCCACCACACCGTCCCCCACCACCCTCTCACCCTGATGGCGCCTGTTTTTGCATTATCACACCCAGCAGAGCAAACGCTCCACACATTCTAGGCTGGAAAAGGAGAGCAAGGAAATGAGCTTTTTGATTATTTTATTTAAAACTTTTTCTTTCTTTTTTTTTTTTTTTTTAAGAGATGGGGTCTTGCTATGTTGCCCAGGCTGGAGTGTGGAGTGCAGTGGCTATTCACAGGCGTGATCTCACTACTGATCAGCACAGGAGTTTTGACCTGCTCCGTTTCCGACCTGGGCCGGTTCACCTGCTGGTTCCCCGCTGCCGGGAGGTCTCCATATTGATGCCGAACTTAGTGCGGACACTCGATCGACATAGCGCACTACAGCCCAGAACTCCTGGGCTCAAGCGGTCCTCCCACCTCAGCCTCCTGAGTAGCTGGAACTACAGGCACGCGCCACCGTGCCCAGCTATTTTTGTTTCTTTTTTCTTTCTTTTTTTTTTTTTTGAGACAGAGTTTCGCTCTTGTTACCCAGGCTGGAGTGCAATGGCACAATCTCAGCTCACCACAACCTCCACCTCCTGGGTTCAGGTAATTCTCCTGCCTCAGTCTCCTGAGTAGCTGGGATTACAGGCACGCACCACCATGCCCAGCTAATTTTTCGTATTTTTAGTAGAGACGGGGTTTCACCATGTTGACCAGGATGGTCCCGATCTCTTGACCTCGTGATCCACCTGCCTCGGCCTCCCAACGTGCTGGGATTACAGGCGTGACCCACCGCGGCTGGCTATTTTTGTTTTTCTTTCTTTCTTTCTTTTTTAAGATGGGGGTTTCACCACATTGGTCAGGCTGGTCTCAAACTCCTAACCTCAGGTGATCCACCTGCCTCAGCCTCCCTAAGGCATGAGCCACGGTGCCCGGCTATTTGTTTCTTAAACAAGATGAGAAAGCCCGGTGCGGTGGCTCAAGCCTATAATCCTAGCACTTTGGGAGGCTAAGGTGGGTGGATCACCTGAGGTCAGGAGTTCAAAACCAGCCTGGCCATCATGGTGAAACCCCATCTTTTAAAAAAAACAAAAAACAAAAAAAACAAGATGAGGTCTTGCCATGTTGTCCAGGCTGGTCTTGAACTCCTGGGTTTAAGCATTCCTCCCACCTTGGCCTCTAAAAATGCTGGGATTAGTCATGAGCCATTGTCCCGGGCCCAAAACAACTCTTTTGAGAATATATTCATTCACAGTTTCTATTCTTCTTATACAAACTTGAAAATTTAAATCTTGAATTATCCTTTATCTTAGCCATTTCTATTTAATAATTCAGACCTACATGTTAAATAAATATTTATCTCTGTATAGAAACCCTGTGTTTTTTCCCTAGAAAGATAACATAGAACAGACACGAGCAGGACTCAGCGTTATGACCCCGTTGGAATATGCGCCATGCAGGGGGCAGAGCTGCAGACGGTACCCTTACGCTCTGCACTGTCTGGAGCTGCCCGTGATGCACGTCAGCTTTTTCTTAATACTCTGTTTTCCTGCCACCCCGCCCCGCCCCCGGGAACAAAGCGCCACAAACTGGGAGGCTCAGAACAACCGAGATCCACTCTCTTGCAGCTCTGGAGACCAGAGGTCGAACATCAAGGCATCAGCACGGCCTTGCTCTCCCCAGTGACTCCAGGGAGGGTACCTCCAACCTCAGCACCCAGTAGTTCCAGCTGTCTCTGGGCTTGTGGCCACACTGCTCCAGTCTCTGCCACCATCTGTGTGGCCTCTTCTGTCTGTGTCTCTTCCTCTTCTGTCTCTTAGAAGGACACCTGTGACTGGACTTAGGGCCCATCTGGACAATGCCGGAGGACCTCATTTTGAGATCCTTCATCATATCTGCAAGACCCTTTTCCCAAACGGTCACATTCACAAGCTCTAAGGATCAGGATAAGGACACAGGTTTTGGGACACACTATTCAACCCACTATATTTGAGTGACAGTACTGTGATTGTTGAGGGAATTTCATTGGCTGTCATTACCAAAATAATTTCTTATTGGAAACAACATCTTGCATGATTTACTTGTGATTTACAGTCTATATGTCTTAGAAAAAAATTAACATCGGCCGAGCGTGGTGGCTCATGCCTGTAATCCAAGCATTTTGGAGGCCAAGGCAGGCGGATCACCTAAGGTCGGGAGTTCAAGACCAGCCCAACCAACGTGGTGAAACCCCATCTTTAAAAAAAAAAAAGAAAAAGAAAAAAAATTAACATCACATAATTTCATTCTCATAAACACTAGCAAGGTCTTAAAATCCATTTGGTAATAGTAATTAAATGAAAAAGTAAGAAGATCATTCTATGGAAACAGGCACGCTACCTACCTGTCCTGAAAACAGAACCCTTTGCCAGGAATCAAGTGTTCTCAGAAGGAAAAGGCCAACTTCCAAAAGAATAATTGAGAAGCAGTGCTACAAAGGCTGGCACAGATTCCCTAAAGTGGGACATTCGATGGCATCTGGCTACAATTGTACAGAATTGTGTCTGTGAAAACACTGCAGCCATTCGTGCCAGGCTGCAGGCCTTCGGAAGCTCAAGGAAGAGCAGAGGTCTCTGGCCTCCCTGCGTCATGCCAGCTGCACAGCCACCTGCACTTGGCCCTTTCTCTGTCCCTCACAACACACTTCCCGCTGCAGGAGAATCTGACGTGTCCTAAATAGCCACTATACCAGGGAACAGTCCAGAACCTTTTCATGATAGTGTCAAAGTGCAGGAAACCAGCAGTGACCCAAATGGACTGGCAAGTTGGCTTCAAGCCGGAAGAGAGGGGACAAGGCATCTTCAGAAGGGCCCAAGTTTGCTGCTTCCTGAGTCTTCATCACACAACCATCTGGATATTGGTCTGGATATAATTTTCTTTTCTTTTTTCTTTTTTTTTTTTTTTGAGACAAAGTTTCCCTTTTGTTGCCCAGGCTGGAGTGCAGTGGCATGATCTTGGCTCACTGCATCCTGTGCCTCCTGGGTTCAAGCGATTCTCCTGCCTCAACCTCCCAAGTAGCTGGGATTATAGGCGCACCACCACTCCCAGCTAATTTTGTATTTTCAGTAGAGACAAGGTTTTGCCATGTTGGCCAGGCTAGTCTCAAACTCCTGACCTCAGGTGATCCGCCCTCCTCAGCCTCCCAAAGTGCTGGGATCACAGGCGTGAGCTGCTGCCACCAGCCAAGATTCCGTTTTCCTCCATGTTAATTAATGTCCAGTCACTCAACACCATATATTGAAAAAACCAACTAGGCGTCCCACACCGAGTTGCAGAGGTGGCTTTGTGACCACCCGTCCCACACTGAGGTGGCTTTGTGACCACCCATCCACACTGAGGTGGCTTTGTGACCACCCGTCCCACACTGAGGTGGCTTTGTGGTGCATCTGGTGGTCGTGCACATCAGTCAGCCTGTCTGCCCTCACCAATACCGCAGCGGCTCCATTACTGCAACACTAAAGCCTTGATAGCTGCATAGTTCCACCCTCCAGCTCTCTCCTTCCTTTCCAAGATCACCTTATATGAACCCTGACTTTTACTTCCTG